TGCGTTTGTAGAGGCTGGAAAACTCTGCAGGAATTTTAAATTCTGAGGAAACATCTTTGCAAAGTAGTTTCCTGCACCCTTCAACAAGCCTGGCTGCACAGTGTGATCAACACCTCACTAATGGGCTAAATTTTGAAATAAACGATCTTGGCACTGACAGAAACGGACAGGAAGGATGAAGGGAAAGCTGCAGAATGCAAAAAAGGTATGGCAATGAAGGATCACTCCTATGACTTCTGAAGCTGATTTTGAATCTGCCAATACACTAGCAGGAATACTCGTCCTAAGCCAAGTTTTTCTGATGTGAAGCACCTTTAGGAGCTTCGGACAGTGCTTCAGCACATGTGCTCAATGAACATGTGGACTCATACATGCACCTCAGCGATGCATGCTGACAAAGGATCCAGTAAAATGGCAAATAGCTCCTTACCTGGAACTACCTTCCCCTTCCCTATTGGGGAAAGGGAAAAAGCTGTAAGAGAGATTATTTGGAATTAAAAATTCCATATTTTCTCAAAAATATAGGCCAAGGACAATCTGATGTAAATTACTGTAGGGAGAAAAAGCAGAGGACGAAACTGGCTCATAACCTCATACAACTGGCAATGGTGCTGGCTCATCTACATGGATGGAGCTGGGTGATTTGAATGACAATTCAAACTTAGGCAGAGCTCTGAAGTGGAAACCTAAAACCAAACTCCTCCAAAGGCAAGATATGTTTAACTTCCAAGGTTGTGGTTTTGAGTCTTTCTTTTGAGGTTGTGGAAATGTCAAGATCAAACTGAACAGCTTGACGATTTATGTATACAGAGGACAAAGAAACATCCCTGCACGTTCAACACATTATCCTCAAGAGAATATTCCGGCAAAACCAGAAGAGCTGACCTGTGAGCCTCACCTCAGGCACTACGAGCCCATAGATTTGGGTGCAGCCTCCACACAGCTCTTTCTAAAGCCTCTATTGGGCGGGGGGGCACTCCTCAAGCATTTCCACTCCTCAGGAAAATATGGTCCTCTGACGTGGGGCAGGAGGGCAATCCAGTTCAGAGCCAAGCTCAGGCAATGCAATCATCAACCTCAGCTGGAGGCAAAGGAGAGCTTTCACTAAGAAGTTTGAGGGAGGTTTCCCAGACCATGAAGAGCACAACACAGATACCAACAGGCAGGAATTCAGCTGCATCTTCCTATCCTTCTTCTGTAACAAGACCTCCAGCGTCATCTTAGCTCTGAGGGATTTGACTCTGCTCTACAGCGCAACTAAAGTTTAGCTCAAGGCTACTTGCTCCCAGAAGTGTCTCTCTGGCTTCTGCCTCACACAGCCCTCTCCAAACCACTTCTGGCAGGTTATGTTTGTGTCCTTGTCTGCCAAACAGATTCAATCCATCCCTAAATGGCAGCACGTTTCCTTCCCATCTGGTGTCCCAAAACTATCACCGTGTCATTGACATTTTTAGTGTCAGAGTTTTCCTGATTTAAGTTTTGCTTGGTCTTAGGAAAGTACCTTAAACCGAGCTCTCCATGTCTTCTCCACAGATGCTGCTTTCTCCACAGTACCCTGTATCTGGTCTCTGGTTTGGTAATGACCCAAGTTCACTGCATGACAGCAGGAACCACGGAGGGAGAGATTGCAGAGCAATTCTCTGCCTGTTCTCACAGCTCTGCCTCGCCAGCATGGAAATACTGCCACTTCTCCACTCCCCATGCAATTCTCAATGGTGCAGCCAATAAAGACATTTAAAGGGATTAAAGGAAATGACAAGAGCTCCATCCCACTGGAAGCCACCAGGAACTGGGTATCAAACCTTTGTTTGTGCTTTTGGAAGACTTCCTCCAGGGCTTTAGTGCAGCAGCAATCTGCAACCCATACACTATTCTCCCCCACTTAGTTTGCAGCTTGATAAAAGGCAATAAAACTAGGGACTTCAACTCAGCCAGTTTTGCCTGATTTGCCAATTTGTGTTGCTGTTCTGTGTTACAGCATCAGGACTTCTGCAAATTTTATTTTTATTTCTATTGTCAGCATCCTGGCATGTAGATGGGAATGGAATGCCACCCTGCCACCCTACAGGACACCAGCATCAGTGCTGGCTCGTGGCAGAGCTCCCACATAAACCCTCACATCTGTACCCTCTAGAAACAGGCATTTATAAGACAAAAGAGATTCCTCATATCTGACAGTGTTCTTGTAGGTATTGCTTTCTTTTTCTTTAATATTTTTATATCTATAGTATTTGGCCTTTTTTGCATGGCCTGAGAACCTGTAAGAACATTTTGTGCAACAGGGCAAAGTAGAAGGTGTGGGCAGAAGGTTTGCTTCCTACCCTGAGACCTGCCCTATGTTTCCATGCAATTTTGGGGGAGTTTCTCTGGCCAAATTACTCAAAACTATAAATTGCTGTCTGCCTTATCCAGGTCATCACAGCTTCTGAGGCTGGAACTGTCACTCTATGAGGCGCTGAAAATCTGCCTGTTTAATTACCTCAGTTTCCCTGTTGGTAAAGGGAGGATAAGATCTTCCATGTCTCAACTCATTAATATTAGCAAATTGTTCTGAGATTATGGGATATCTGGAACTATTTATAGGAACGCAAAATGCCATTTCTATTAGGTGCAAGTTGCCACGCAATTAAAATATACCGAGCATCACAATATGTAGCAAATGGGACATCTTGTTTTACATCAGCCAAGAACTGCTAAGTGGCTCTCTGCTTCCTAGTTGCTTATTTTATACTTTTTGCCCTGAAAAACTCATTAAGGAAATGTACTGGGCCAGACTGTGATGTTTAGCAAGAGTCATAATCTCTCTCAAAGTTTCCAGCCCACAGGGAAAAGGATGTCCATGTGGGCAAATCAAGCTACTCTCTCCACAGCTCTACAAAATGCAGAGCTTTACAGTTTGCTGTCGAAAGAGAGGGATGTGAACCACAGTTATGGCCCTTCTGCACCTCTTAGAGGAGGTTTCCATTCTGTGGGTATACATAAAGAACAATCTCTGCGCTCAGCCCTTCCAGAGAAGGGGAACAAAAGATCCTTTAAATCTCAGCTTTCCTCAGCTGCCTTCTATGGAGTGACCAGGGAGAACTTTTACTGGCTCATTCTCCTACAAATCAATTTATTTAGATTCCTTCCAAAAGGTTGCATAGAGTCTTTCCTCATTTCTGTCTGGGAGAGCTTTGTGAGAGGCCGTTTGGACAAGACTGCTGCAATAATTCATAACATTTGCAGACAATTTGTAAACCCTTACAGTGTCCCAGAATGATTAATTATTTTTTCTGAGACTATGAGACACTGTATGAGTGTGTGTTTGTGAACATGCATGAAGACGGGCAGTTCCCCCAGGCCCAGAGGCAGGAATAAAGATCAGCACAGATTTCTTCTTTGTCGTGTAGGGCTTTTTGTGATACTTCAGTTGTTTCGCCCCTCCATATTTTAGGTTTTAAGTGAACCCATAGCAGAAGGTAGCAGTCTTATTTCTTTCCAGGTCTCCTACAATAGACTCTGGAAGATCTAGTCTGATATGTACCAAAGGTATAATCCCATGTAAATAATTTATTCTAATGATGATCGCTGGCCTTGGCTTCAGTCACCCAAGAGAAAAGCAATTAAAATCACCCCTCATCCTAGATTACATGGCCTAAACTTAATCTCTGTGAAGTTTTCAATATGATCAGTTTTATATCAACTTTCAAACCAAACTGTATCTTGCTGGTAGTTTTTAGATGAACATACATTAACCCAAGTGAGTTCAGAACAAGAAAATCTACAAATCCTAGGATTTGGAATGATTTCCTAAAACCTATCTCAAATATTCTGCATAAATACCCATACAATACAAACTAATTGCAAAGGCAAAGCTTGTGGGAGCAAAAGTCAGAACAATGCTGAACAAATATTTGGGATTTGCTCAGGACTCTAGTCCAAGCCCTCTTTTGCAGCAAGATACAAGAAATACATCTGTGTAGGCCATCACTAGCTATACCAAGTCTGGAACCTTTTAGTATTGCATGCCTATAAGAGAACCTCCCCCCTTTTCCACATTATTTAGGGTATTGCTTCAGATGCTAAAAATTATTTGCTCTTTACTGTTACACATAGAGTTGGGTGAGAAATGTTACTTATTTTTCAGTTAAGAAGACCATACCAACATGTATTGTAGTGCATGAGGAAAAAGAAGAGCAATCAAATAATTTTGATGCTTTTCATCACTAAAATGATTTTCTGGGAGCAGTAAAGTTGACATGGCATTCTTTGGGAGTGACTGACTGTCAGGGGGACCAGTAAAGACACTATTGGTTATAAAAAGCTTTAAATTCTTCACTAGGTAAGACATTTTCCTCTCCTTGCCAGCCCCATGATCATCCCTTTTGCCATTATATTTACAAACCCAACAGTACCTCCCCCAAATGGTTTTGTTAGTCTGATTTGTCTGGCTAAGAAAACGTCAACTGAAAAAATAAATCTGAGGAGACTGCAAGAACAAACACTCACACAGAAGATTTAAGAAAATTATCTTGTTCTGTGCTTGTAGAAACCAGCCTCCCCACAAGTTTATGAGTCCAAATCCCACATGAAGGGAAGAGAAAGTCATGTGAGAGGTTAAAGAAATCCGAAGTAAACATGAATACTAGCTTTGTTGTATGGTCCTGTAAAACAAGCTGGATAAAGTCACTCTTTGGGTTGGTTTAGTTATCAACATCTCTTGCCATACTGCAGTGACCCTTTTGACTTTAATTTCACCACTATGCAACGGCTTCTGTTGTCTCTCCAGCTTATTGCTAACATCAGTATTAAGCTGTTCTAGCAGGAGAAGTGATTAGCTTGTGTGTTTATAACCCATGCTTCCACAGTGAAAAAACCAGAGATACATAACACAGATAATAATAATCGTGTGCAGTCTAAACAAGCTTTGGGAGAGCTGTGCAAAAATAATATTGCAAGCTTTTGTGTCTTACAGGATGGGAATAAGGCTGATTTCATTTAAAACGCACAATTTATCCTACCTTGCTGGCCTTCAGTATCTCAAACATCAGAGGTAACCCCTGTGTGATAAGCTCCTCCGTGTACTCTTCTTCCTGAATGGACTTGAATTCCTTTAGCAAGCACTGGATGAGGGGTCGTCTGTGCTGCTGGAAGGACGTGCGCAAAGACTCCAGCCACGTGTGGAGCGTCCAGGGAACACCTACGGACAGAGGACAGAGCTCATTCCCAGCTTCAGGAACGGACGTGCCCTTCTGCTTTTTTACCTTTACACATGTTTAGATTTTATGCCAAAACTGACAAATAACACTAGAGATCAAATTCCTATTTATCCCTAATTAAGAAGGCTGGCAGTTATCAGTACATCCCAGACCTAATGCACAGAGGCTTTCCTCCAAATGCTAAGAGAGGACTGTGGTCTCTCTGCTCATCTAGCCTCCAGCTTCTCTGCTGAGACTGCCAATTTGTGGTAATTGCTGTGGTGTTCTGTGTAGCAAAAGCCTTTTGGAAACTAGATTTACACTAGCTTATTTGTTTGAATGTGGCCCTGGAGAGCCATTAAATGGTAAAAAGCCCTGGTTTTGGTCACTACCCACCTGGATTCAAACTGGTGGTCTTCAGATTAAAACTTGCTTTAAGTGCTATCCCCTGTCCTCCCCTGATCCTTAGTATTTTCCCTAAACTGCATTGGGTGAGTTAAACAGATCAGCCTTTTTAAGTAGATTGTTCGTGACAGAATCACTCTCCAGGAAGTTAAAGGGAACTGCTCCCATGCACTGAGTGAGAAAGCACATGGAGCTAATGTACCTCTGCAGGCATGAGGCTGGACGTGACCTAGTTGCTGCTCTTGCAGAACGGAGTGGAAGGAAACACAAGCCTGGTGTTTGGCAATGAAAGGTTTTTCCTTCCATTTCAGAAAATGTTAAATGCCTGGAGAATACCCCCACCACTCTCTTGTTCATCTCCAGATCTTTGTCTGCTCAGCCCAACTGGCAAGCCCTGAACCCACGCCACATGTCCCCAGGGCTGGAGCACTGCACCAGGCAGAGGCACGCCAGGCAGTTGGGTCTCTCTGAACACAGATAAATGGGGATGGTAAACACACAGTCCAGATCCATTTCCCTCTGCACTACCCAGCCACCCTCCCCACAGGCAGAAGTGACTTCCCAGCAGGCTGGTATGATCAAGCCCCTCAGCGAGGGGCTGGCACACCATAGAGCCAGCACACCAAGGAGTCAGTTCCCTGCTCCTGCCTTTGGAGGCTCAGAAGTCTCAGAAAATGGAAGTTGTTTTAATGGTGGACTGCTTTACAGCAGAATGCAAAAGAGGAGCCGTAGGAGGTGGCCCACGGCAGCTGAACACTGTCCCAGAGCCTTCCCAATGCTCTGCCATGCAGCAGTACAGAAGGCTGCCCAGGGAAACCATTGTGTCCTGCAGAAAAGAGCCAGTGACCCCTGAACAGGCTGTGCTGTAGAGCTGAAATGGGTTGGGAACCTGTCAGATCTCCCATCATCATCTGCTTCCAAAAGAGGAGAAGAAGATGTGACTGCGGTCGGTTTAAGCAACAGCCCATCAAGAGTGTTTCTTATAGTGGTCCCTCCACAGGTGAGGATGAGAAAGGACAGCAGGACTGACCTATGCTCCGTATGTCAATGGTCACATCCACGTAGCCGTGCTCGGCACTGTGATACATGGCCTCCTTCAGGGCTTTCAGCTTGGCCTTGCTGTTGCGGCTGGCGCAGAGCGGAGCTGCTGCCGAGTCAGGCAAGTCTGTTCCCTCAGCCAGGATCTCCTCCAGTGACAGAATATCGCTCTTCTCCTTCTCTGGCTGAGCAAGCAGTTTACGAAAGACGTTCCTGTCAATCACAGCATGACAGAGAGAGGGAGAGAGGGCAAGAGAGGAGAGGAAGGGGAGTGCAGTGTTAGTGCCTAGGCTTTCGTTGCACTGGGTGTACTTGCTGTGATGTGGCAAGTTAGGACACCTATCAAGGAAATTACTCCAACTAATGGCAGAACCAGCTGAGAGCAGACCCGAGGCAAGCACAGCTCCTGCTAGCCCATCTGCACTGCCTGGGACACATCTGCAAGTCACTGCTGTCAGGACAGGAACCGTACAGATGTCGCATGAATGGCGGCATCTCATGGGAACAGAGACTTGTGAGCTAAACGTGATTCAAAACTTCTTCAACAATCAGGGAAGGCCAAGGTGCTTCTGGACAAGCTCTCAGGATTTCCACCACGGCAGGTACCTGAGAAGGGAGCTACCTGGAGCTACCAAAAGCACCACCACTTGATTAACACTCAAAGCAGTGTGGGAAAGCTAGAGCAGCTAGACATTCAACAAGGCCAGTCAGGGCAGGTTCAAGCACATCTGGGACTACTCTACAAAGCCACTGATCCAGCTGGGCCATCAAATAACAAAGCCCTCGGGTTCGTACCAGCATAACCTCATCAACCTCAACAGTGTTTCTCGTGGTTTTGCAGCCGTGAAAAGAGAAACTAGGCTGGCTCCCTGGAGCCCACCTCCCTGGTATTCTGATGTTCTCCCTGCATCTGCTTAAGACCCCAGCATGGTCTGTCCCAAACAAATTTAGGGCAGAGAGGGAAGGAGGAAGGCATGTGTGTGAATGGTATACAGGTAGGAATGTAAGAGCCAGAGTCTGTGACATGGACAGCCAGCAGCCAAGCCAAGGAGAGGCCCAGGTCCTCCTCGGGCATGTGGCTCTCATTCATGCTGGCTGAATGTGAGACTTCAATAACCAAATTGTCCTCTCTGTCCCAGGGATCCCTTGCAGGCTCCAGATGGGCAGTGTTGTGTGAACCCGCCCTGACGTGCTGTTAGCATGTTGTTAGACTGGCAGCTCATCTCTAAGCAAACAGACGGCAGGTACTGTCTCTAACCTGTATCTATGTTCCTCTGGATGGCTATAATCAGAAAAGTAGGAACGTGAAGATCATAATACTAATTCATTACACTGCAGTCAACTCCTGAGTGTTGCAAGATCATGCATGCCAGGTGCTCATGTCATTACTTTTTTTTTTTTTAAAATTTGCAGCATACATACAACATTAAGACACGCAGGACTTTACAGAAAACACAGATGCAGAAACTCTATTCAACAGAAATTAAGGCTGCAGCAGTACAGACACAATTCACACAAACCTGAGAAATATGTCAAGAAATTCAGAAGGAATGTCTTTGGCATTCCTTTCTGCTGTCATATCAGCTGCCATTTAACAACCACTGCATTGAACGCGCCACGAGGAGTCCCCTTTATTTTCTTTTTTTTACATCAGATATCAAAAAGCAGCTTGTACCACCAACTGGTTTAATTCACATGCTAACAGAAAGCCTTACATCTCTGCTCAGTTGGTGGCATGTTCAATTTGTTCATGCAGAAATTTCACCCGTCTGCTCAAACTGGATGCCCAGGCAAAAAATAAGCACTTGAACGATGCCACTAGACTTGTTCCCACTCTACCTGTGTCCATGTGCAGCAGCCTGACTGAAAGAGTTCATGTCACCTTGTGGATTCATGGAAATGCCATTCCTGTACATTGTTCCTATCATGGGGTCAGCTCCTCGCTCCAACAGCAAACTGACAAGTTCAAAATTTCCTGCAAGTCAAGAGGTACATTTTTACTTCTTTTAAAATCCAGTATTTGCTCACCTAAACCATAGATCCCAGCTGAGGAATTGTTACAGTGGGAGGAGAAAATCCTTACCAGCAGCTGCTGCCAACTGTAAAGGAGTTTCAGAGTAATTTTCCTCTCCATGCTCCAAGGAACCTTCTACCTTTGCTCCAGCATCCAGCAACAGCTAGAAAGAAAATTCACCATTTAGAGCAACTGGGGGTATCACAATCTTCAGAGTTCATGAACAGTGACAAATGAGAATCTAATGCTTCTTGTTATCTGAAACCAGATAAAATGGAGACACGTGACATGCAAATTCTGCCCATTGTTTCACAGAGACAAATTAATTCCTTTTTTCGCTCATTTTACGCTGCCGAACACCAGGAGCACTAGTGTCCAACTTCAGAGCCAAAAAAGTGTAACCCAGTGTTTTTGAGTGGGAAATGGGGTAAGGTCAGCGTTAGGAAGTAATGCACTGAAGATGGAAGAAAATTAGCCCGACAAGCATCCTTCCTTCATGGTCTTCTAGAAGCCCAGCACCATCCAAAAATGGATCAGATTTCAATTGCCTCCAGCTTTTATATAAAGATGGCCAAAAGAAAGGCAATTCTTAAGAACCAATTGCAGCAATAACTCCAAAAGCTCTGGTCTCCATTGGGGACACTTCCACAATAAATAACAAGAATGCTGTAAACAAAAGTGGTCAAGAAGAGCAGGATGGAGCCTGTGCTCCAGCCCCTCTTTTGGCCATTTCTGTCTTGAGGCCTTCACAGTTTTGGTGCTTCAGTAAGTGTGTCATAGACACAGCTATTTTGAAGAATAAACCTTCTCAACTTTTGAGATGCCAAAGCACAGAACCAGCATATCCCACACGACACCTCGATGGGGTAAGGAGAGCGAGGGCTTCTCCCCCTTTGGAGCAGCACAAGGGCTGTTGTCCACCTCTTTCCAACCAAGGCAGCGGGTTTGTGTTTGCTAGAATATTATAGCGTAAGAAAGTGCAATGAATGAATAAAACAAACATATAAAACAAGTGGTCAGGAAGGAGCACAAGGAGTTGTCAGACTTTCTTTGGTGCAACTTTGCTTTAAAATTGTCCTACTTAAGCCTCATATTGGTTAAGGTTTGATCACCATACTCACTACATAATAAGTCTATTATATATCAGTACACTCTTGAAGAAGCAGGAGTAACCAATATGAGTATGACAAGAGGATGCTGTTTTGAGATGGATGTAATTAGAACTGAAGAGGAGGGGAAAAAAAAAAAGAATGAGATGCAGGTAGGGAAATACAGTAATACCTGAACTACAGGAATATGTCCATGCAACACAGCAAATGTCAGAGCTGTCCAATGGCGGGTCTCAGGGTGGACGGATGGGTATTTATGAGCAGTACTGACAACCTACAAACAAATTAAAGTTATTTTTTTAAAGAGCTATATGTAACAAAATTCAACTTGCCTGAAAGCCAGGCATGTGAGGGAGTAAGTGAAATAGAAAACCTGGGAAAGGTGCTTTATAAAATGATTGGCTTCATATTTTTCCTGCAAAATTTTTCTCAATATTAAAACTGTTCATGCTGATTTGACAGCTTGAATTGAGTTCTTACCAAATGAAGTCTTTTACCAACTACTGTAGCTCCATCTAAACCACTGGCCACCAGATTCTTTTGCACAAGGGCAAAACATCCACAGCTGGTTACAACAGCACACACTGGGGAAGCAAGGATGGATCAGGACACTTACAGCTAAGGACCACTCCCACTGACTTCTCCAGACCATGTATCAACAGCCCCAGGCCTTGGGACTGCTCCAGGCCCAGCCAAATTTCTTTGCACTTAAATCAGTATGACTTTTGTCACTGCCATCATGAAGGACACATCACAAGCCCTACCCTGGAGCTTGCAGGCATCCTTCCAGACTCCTCCTCTCTCACCAAAGGAAAAAGAGATGTGAGAAGTAATGGGGCAGAGTGGCACTTCAGAAATGTTTAAAGAAAACTGCTTTTTACTGCCTTCTCCTGTCTGAGTTGAGTTAAAAGTGCAGGGTGGTGACAGTTAAAAGAGATGCAAACTATACCCTTAGAAAACAAAATGCTATTTTTCAGATTGCTCCTTCCATTTTCTATGCCTTAGTGCCTTGTGCTTCTAATGTAGACTTGAGGAAGATGAATAACCATTCTTTGCTTCAGTTTCTCTGTCTTAGAGATGGGGGTATTAATATTGATGAGGTTCACAGATATGGTAAAATCTAATGAACGTTTGCAATTCGAGACTGCACACTCAGATGGAGTGTGACACTAAAATTCAAAATCTTGTTATTGATCTTCAGAAGAGGACTAAAATGAGAGTAAAAGATGCACTGTCTCTCTGTTTCACCAGCCAGCTATGCTTTCACTACCTTGCCTGAAGTACCTTTATCCATACAGGGGAGCGGGACCAGGTATTAAATATTCGGTTCCATTAGCAGCTCACATTTCCAAGCACCACATGCAGTGTTTTGCCAAAAGCAGGCCCTCAGTCCCAAGGACAGGGATGAGGGAAAAATCTGAAGAGCCCATGCAGATCCCATAGCTTGCCAGAGGAGCGGATCTGCACCAGCACCTGGCTGTTATCGCCCAGATTTGTCAAGGAGAGACCTCGAAGGGCAACAGGAGGAGTGTGCTGGCCTCTGAACAAAGGCACAGGGCTTCTCAGGGTCTGGGTTTGCTCAGAAGGAAGAGGATCAAGCAGCTCCAGCCTTGGGGTTTAGGATGTGGAGTAAGAGCAGCAGAGGGTAAGGATGGGTAGGACCACGGTTTAGTGAATGCATCCAGCTCCTCCTCAAGCACATGTCCCCACCACTGTTCGGGGCAGTCCATGGAAAATGGCAAAGAAAATGAAGTCATTTTAACTCCTTTGCTCCTTTTTTTTCGTTTAGAGTTCTTTCCAGCCGACACGGTGTTTGCAAAAGACCTGTGGCTGACCAGGCTTTTAAGGTTGAGGTTTGCCGAGCAGCTACAGGTCCCACTGACTAGAGAGCAAACTGCAGCTTCTCAGCACATCTGGAAATAGAGTCCATTTTCGCTAAAGATGGGCAATCAAAAAGGGAGGTGCCTAGCATTTTAGGCTACTTTTGGAAACATATTTGCAAAGTGAAAGGGGGAAAATTATGCAGGCACCTGACAGAGTATTTATTTTTGTTCATGGTTGATTTGCCTTTTTTTTTGCCTTAATTGCCCAATTTGCACAGTTGGTTGTGGTGTGCACAAATCATCTTATAATTGCACGCCATAATTATTCACAGTTCTTGTCCCAAAGTGTTTTCATTTGATTTTAGAGCAAACACTCTACAGTAATGAATCGAGGAGGTTCACATTCCTCACTGGAGCTGTTCTCTCAGATGTCAGCAGTTTCAGGAAGACAAAACTGTTTAAATTAGCATTTGATTCAAGTCTGACAGATTACTGGAGCAATTGGGAGGACTGCTCCTAATGAAAACTCATCCTAGCTACCAAATAATGCCATCTCATGTCTGAGCCACAGACAGGGTTAAAGGAGAGCTCAGTCTCCATGCCCATTCAGTCTTTGGGCTCGCTAGGGGTTCAAACATTCAGTCATTGTCAGCTCTTGGTGGTGTGCTTGAATGTGGGGAACTGAAATCAGCAGCTGATTTCATGATAGTAACAACTATCAATCTCCTACAGGTGACATCCATTTCTACTTTCAAATTAGACTTCTCAAAAGTGCAAAATGTCTGTCTGAAGCAGTGACTACAATTTATCAGCTCGCTCAAGTCCAAACAGAACAGATGGAACATAGATAAGTGAAGCAGACAGCTTGATTTACTCATGACTTCAACAAATTGAAACTAGAATCATTAACAAATAATTCTTTCATGGATTTTCAAACGGCTCTTTTAAATGTACATACCTGCATTGCACAGAGTTGGACCACAATCTGTTCGGTGGACAGATTGTGTAAGTTTGTGATGTGCATTCATCAAAAAGACATTAATATTCTGGAAGCTTCAAGCTCCTCATCCAACAATTTTTAGCCCAAGGCACTTTGTAAAACAAAACAATGGAACCTACATCGCACCTGTGTGCTGGGGATGCTTACCTGGAACATCCCTATGCATAGAAATACTCGAGCTTTTGCAGGTTATCAGATGGGTGTTTCTTTTACCCTCTTCATTTAAACCCAGATGAGATTCAGGGAGTCCTTCCAATAGCATTAGAGCTGCGCTTCATGCTAGTGCTAATGCCCGTGTTCATTTGCAGTGTGCAAACACAACTAAATCAGTATTACCTGTGGGTTAACTCTGATGACTTGACCATTTCTATGCAGTGAATCCCAATGTTAACCTAATGCCATTTGATTTCACTATTCATTTCAAGTGGTCCCATCCAGGATAACACAGATTTATTTTCTTTTTAATTCTTGGGATTTTCGCTCTGCTAGAGTTTCAGGGGGTAGTTTAAGATGGAAACAAACAACAGAACAAAGATACAACCAACAAAAAGTCCTCACCTCAGCATTTAGATCTGCTCCAGCATCTAGCAGCATCTGCACCATAGCCTCATCACCCCTGACACAAGCATACATCAGTGGAGTCATGCCCTAGTTCATTTTTTGGAGTTAAAAAACAAAGGAATTGACAAATTTAACACAGAACTCTCTTTGATTTTTTAAAACAATTATTCAAGTATATATCATCAAGACTAACAATATGTATTTAATGAAAGCCATTACCTCTGTTACACACAGGCCTATCAGAGTAGGAAAAGCCAACCATTTTTGTAAAAATCTCCATTTTTGTTGTCACTTGCGTTGACTGCTTGTATTTTTCATATTACCTTCAATATGGTAAGTGGAACTAGGCGTGCCAGCCTCACTCCATCCTCATATACTAAACTGAGTATTTTTGTCTTTGGGGCCCCAGCAGAGAAATGTTTTCACCAAAGCAACTATTATTTCCACTGGTATTTTGAAAAGACAGTAATTCTACTCAGTTTTCTACAATCACAGTGTCATAAAATCTAACTTTTTAATTACTGAAAGAGCCTTGAAAACATCTCAAGTTTCTTTTAAGATAGGTTAGATTTGAGCACAGCTTTTTCAACAGGGATACTGTAAGGGGCTGGAAATGTCAAGGCTTTGTATAGCACTCTCTAGCAAACAAGGAATTAATTTTAAATGAAATGCCAGATAGCTTTGTTGCAAGTTGCTGGCTCTAGGAAAACAAGCCCCTTCTTGGAGAAAAAGTAGATTAAGTGACCCTTCTATACAGAATCACTGCAATGCAATTTGTATTAATCTGAAATACTTGCTATGGCTGATCACCGTCTCCCTTAAGGTAAGTACTGCTGTGGCTGTGGTAATGAATCCAGATGAAACCATGAAAAAAAAATCATTAAATCTACAGTAAATTGTAATAGCTGAAGCTGCTTATTAAATACAGTAGGGGGTGTTGACCAACAGCCACCAGTTGTTTTGCAGTAAATCTCCTGAAGCACACATATACGTCTGATGCATGTTTTTAGCCTATGCTTAGGTCCCCCAGTAAATCTGCAGTCAGATGACAGTCCCTTTGCTGTTTAACCTCAGTGCTGCTCTGAAGTGATTTTCAGAGAAACTGGAGGTACTCAGCCTGGCCAGATACAGATCCATGACAATGCTTTCCCTAACAGGAGCCCAGTACCACTATTTTTGCTGAATTACCCCACTTTTCCTGTCTGTATGCAGGGCTAAAGGTAGTGGGTTCTTATGTATGGAAGGGTTGCTCTTGTAGAGACAATATAAATTAAGGTTTGTCCCTGCAAGGTCCTTAGATCCTCCCTGAAACACACTGAGCATTTCCCAGGATCCAATCTGCAGTGTACTCATGGAAATGCAGAGTAAGGGAACAGGAAGGTATGGTACTTGGGGTCTCATACCATTATTAAGAAAAAACAAGTTCACCCCAGGCAAGGGAAGTTCTTGGGTGACTTGAAGTTACTTGCAAAGAGAATTTGAAATTACTTCAGCTACAGTCAATAGCAAAACATTTCCTTTGGCAGTCAACAAACACAACAGGAACAAACAGGACCATGAGAATTACAAAAAATTGTGTTTATGCCTTGAAACACAAGGATAGGATAGCAGTTTAAAATTAAATACATGTTCCTTCAACTATTTTTTCAATTTCTGTAAGTGGCATCATTCCATAATTAAGTCAAGTGTTCAGCACAAGGGGTCTAACCAGATCTGAAGAAAAAGAATTTGAAAACTGGGTGCCAGGGCTCCCCCCTGCAAGACACAGCGCATAGGGAGCCATGGTGAAGAATCCTGTGGCAACACCCAGAGCCAAGGGTCTGCCTGGGAACCACACAAGATATTTTGATCCTGATGATGCTGAAGAAGGACTTACAACTGACTAAAAGGGGCCCAGAATATCATGCTGCAGTATCAGGGTTTTAAAGAGTTAATGAGGTCTCTAACCTCCCCTTCCCTTGGACTGCTGTGCCTGCTGCTTTTGCCTCTGCCAGTCCCCCCAGGCTTGCCCAGCAGCTCAGCCTTTCGCTGCAGCACCATTCACCCTCCTCTCTTTGCATGTGGGAGGAATGGATTTTTAATGAGCTCATCATTAGTGTTCGAAGCACACACAGGAATATGGTAACAATGTGCACAATCAACACAAAGGGCATTGGCTTTCGGCAAAATACAAAATTACTGTCTTTCTTTCAGCTTTGTATCACTTATGACTCTGTCCTGCAAGATGTGGGACATCTGATCCAGCGAACCATTTAAGCACAGGCTTAACTTTCACCCAAATAGGATGTAAAAGCATGTGTTCAGAGTTCAACATATGATTAGGTACTCTGATGAACCAAGCCAGAGTGTTCCCAGTTTTCAGCCTGGAGGACAGAGGAAATATGCTCTGAAAAGTTTCCAGGTTGAGACTAACTTAAAATAATAATAATTTTAAAAAGTATAATGTATGAAGCTTGGAATGAGCTGTCTAAAACTGGGTTTTTTTGCGGGGAGTATTGCCCTGTTCTAAAGCTTTTCTCAGATGAATTCACAATATTGACTCAGACTGAACCTACTGAACAGAAATGCAACTCACATTCCTGGAACAGCATTCATCTCAGAAGACCTAAGTTCATGAACAGTCCGGCTCCTGTCCCAAGTGACCACCTCAGAGGTGGTAGCCACCTGGCTCCTGCCAAAGAGGATGCCACAGCTCTGGGAACATGCAGTGATGAACTATCATCAGGGGCACCAAAAAAGTCAGGGTGCTCTATTTCATAAGGAAACATGGCCTGACCTCAGTGAGCATCACAGTCCAGCAGATTGCTGCCAGGTAGCTGCAGAGGGCAGGTTTATCCCCAGACATAACCACCAGCCTCATTGGGATGTAGCTCCAGGGAAATTTAGGCTCTTCAACTGGTGGATGTTGGCCACAATGACCAATGGAGGGGTAACTGCTGAGATACTTTCACTCCTGCAAGGGCAGTTCAAACTGGGCTGAACTCAGTAAAAGAGTGCCAGCAACTGATCTACTGACAGGAGTTCTGTGGTGCACATGAAATGCATTGCAGATCCCGGAGCAGCATTCAGTGGAAGGATGTTCACCTCACAAAGCCCTGTCTCACACCACTGTTCATGGCATTGAAGCAATTTTAAGTATTCAGATCAACACTAAGCTCTCTTGGGATCTTCTGGCTTCACTCGACTCAGTTCAATGTTAAGGAGATTCCAGGGGTGCAGTTGCACTCATGCTGAGTTACCCCAGTACTGACAAATCAATACAACTCGAAATGACCCAACTTAACGCAGATGTTGACCTGTCAGAGCTTTAACTCAATGCAAAGTAATGCAGGAAAAGCATTAAGGTCCTATCTATGAATAGCTGAAAGCTGGGGCTCATTTTCTGTGATAAGCAGACAAAACTCCCACATTTCACAGTTACCTCTTTAAATTTCTATCCCGTTACCTGTTCACTCATGCTGTTAATCCCATCTGGCCCCAGCAAGGATATGGCTTGTTTAACCAGATCCGTTCGGCCACAGTTGAGCATCCGAAAGCCGAGGTCTTGCTTGAACTTCGCCTCAGTGGCAACTGCATCCAGCTTCCGAGACGCACAAAAACAGTCGTCGATTCTGTGGATGTGAGAAATAAACTCCCTCAGAGGACAATCAGAGGACAGACCTTGCTGTCCCCAGGAAAATAATACTTTGCCCTGTCTTTGAAGGATTTAGGTCATGCACACATCCTTTGACCTGTATGTGCGAGGGAAATGCTGAATGGAAAATGATAATGCAAGCTAATGGAGATTGCCCTTGGTCTCTCTTTCATGGGACAAGTTATACATTTCATTAAAAACTGGGCAAAAAAAGCACAGCTTGCACTTGATTTTGTTTCCCTGTTTAAGCAATGCACAATACATTCTCATAACAAGTTTTTCTTTCTCTGCATGGCAAGGTTATCCAGTTCCCCTGATCTCTGAAAACTTTCAGTGACTTCAGTAAGCTTTGAATTTACATCAAATGGATGTATAATCCATTTGTTGACAATACAACAAAGAGAAAATACTGTCACTCCAAACACCTACAGCATAGCTCCAGTAAGAGGGAAACCTTTTTGGAGCAGAAAGTGCTAAGTCACAGAATCCCAGACAGGCTGAGGTTGAGAGGGACCTCTGGAAGTCAGCTGGTTCAACTCCCCTACTTAAGCAGGGCCACATGTACATCAGACCACCGTGCAACTGGGGACAAGGCAATCTTGCCAGGTAATCGTGGCAAAACACTGCAAATCCTTGCTGGCTGTGTCTGACACATCAGATATCATTCTTTTAAGGTCTTATTCAAACTGTAAACTGATATCCATTCCAAATAAAAGAAGGCCTAAGAGTTATTTGGCCAAGATGTGAATCTACAGCTCCAGAGAGAGCCAGGCAATTCAAATCTAATGTTTATCCAACTTGGTTTCATCTTGTTAAAAGACAGGTTTGCTTTTCTTTCATGCTGAGGAGTGTCTGGAGCAGAGGGTGTAGTCCAAATCCACAGTGCTTTTGCTGTGAACTTGGATAAAGGACTGTTTGGAAAAACACTGCTTTCATTCTACAAAAATGCTAGGTCAGAAAATGAGGGGCTACTTATGAAGGAAAGCCAAAATAGAGATCAAAAGTGAAAAAGTCAAGCATACATCAAATATTTGTTTTCTATTTCATATTTTAAAAAAAGCAGCAAATCAAAAGAAAAATACAAACAGCACATCATTATAATTTAAATTTCTTCTTCAAAGTTCTTTATCAGAGCTTTATAAAATATATAACACTGCTTAATATTTAACAGCAGCATGTAACAAATATGCTGTTTATATAGAAGCAGTGGTATGTAGCAATAGCTACCACTTTTCCTCTTTCAACAGAGGAAGGAAAGTGAGATGGAAAATACAAAGTGTTTTGATCAAAGCTTGTGCAGGTTTGAAACTGGCATCTGAGCTCAGGCTTGCTCTCTGCTGTGCTGAGCCACAACCAGTCTGGAGGACAACAGATGTTTGTTGATGTTCATTCTATGTGTTCAGTTTGGGCTTTGACTGCTAAAAAGTTCATGTCCTAAGAATGCAAACAAGGTATGCTTGGAGTATCACTACTCAGGGGAACAAGGATGATGTTTCATCACAACAGTATGCTGCAAGATTAATGGACGACACTCAGTCACAATAAACGCACCGCAACAGCAATAGCAGATTCTGCACCAGTGACATGCCCACAAGAGAGAGGAAGAAAGCAATGCATAGCAAGGCTGGGGTTTCTGCAGTAGTTTCTGACCGAGTTTAAAGAAAAAGCAAAACCAGCACAGATATGCAGGGCTGAGCTCACTGACACTGAGATCCATGGGAGCAATTGAGGCTAAATACATTCACACCATATGGCTCATTTCTGACACAAGAGCTACAGCAACATTTGATGCTTGTTACCCTTATCCATGAGATGCTGGAAATCATCTGTGCCCTCCTTTAATGCATGGCAAAGATAAAGCATGCTCAGAAGTTAGGTGGTGGGGGTTTTGGTGCATGGAGAGAGAGTCTGGACCTTCCAGCTGCAGCTGGCCATTCCCAGATGACTCTGGGCTCTAAACACGATGGTTCCTCAGCAAAGTGGAAAGATCTAGATATTCTCTGCAGAGGTGTCTGTCACTATGAATCACTGCCTGTGTTAAGTCACTGCTTCATAATTTGTACTGAGGTATATAACCTACACTGAATAAAATGGGTCAAACCCAGTGCTGGCAGAAACAGAGTTTCACTGACGTCAGCCCAGCTCGGTGCATGAAATATGATAGCTGATGATCTCCTCTTTTAAAAAAACCCAGATTTTGACCTGGGTTGCACACCCACACAAGGAAGGAAAGACCAACATGGACCTATCTCACCTACCATGTATGGGATGCCCAGATCTCTACACTGGCATGGGTTCAAAAATTACTTGCTTCTTCACTGGGAACTCCTTCATGAATTGGCTCTGGTCTCCTACAAGCATGTCAGTTCACCTGCTTACTATAGTCAAGGAAGGAAACCCATGAATTCCTGATGATATTGAGTATCAGCGAATTAGTACTCTTTAATCAGCTGGGGGGGATAAATGTCTTGGTCCAAGGGCTCCAGGATGCTACAGCTGTAAAAACACTGCAACAATAACATGGATGCAGGAGTGCCTGGGCTGACAAAGTCCAATCTACACCAAGTACCACAAAACAAGAAACCACAACTTAGTACCACTACCAGTGGCCCACTGCCTTTTTATACCCCAAAAAGGACCCATTGTGGGTTACAGCCCCAATTTATGGGACATAGCAAAGGAAACTATATGGCAAAATCTGATATAGACCACTGTCAGTGATCCCATTGTCATATGTTGACTAATAAAATGGATAGTGATCAAACTGGTGAGTTTAATAGAACAAGAGCATGACTCGAGGGAAAGGAACAGAGGATGAGAAGAGAAAGCACAGCAACATCTCAAAAAGCCAGAGAGGTGAAGGAGTTAAAGAAAAGGAGATTTAACACGTACTGATCAAAAGTAGTGACGAGACATCAAAAATGATCAAAAATGATTTGTACTACAAGTACAAATAGAAGAACACAGCATCACTTTTAACACTGGAGAAAGCCAACTAGGAAGACAGTACAGTAGGCAGACTGAGCAGAAACATTTCAAAATGAAAACTGAAAAATCAAAAAAACCCCCAAACCCATCAAAAATCAAACTTAAGCCACCACAGTGCTGCATTTTCTCTCAAGTCCTCTTTCATCCCATTCACTGTATAGTGTTGATTCCAAAAGAAGCAGAGTGTCTGCTCCGTATTACACTGTATAAAAGGATACTGCTCCATCATGGACACCATTCAGAATCATAAACATCAAAGAATGCAAGAAAAAAAAGGAGGAAGGGAATAGACACCCAGGCTTGACTTGATCAAGACTTCTTAACTTTGGACTGAAACAAACACACTGACAAGCTATGAAGAGGTGGGAAAGGGATGGGAAGAAGCTTGAAAAATAAGGCTGAAGAGGAACAGTTAAGTCAGCTAAATATATATAGGGTCACTTTTCAGAGTTGTGAAACTGTGCCTGCTAAGCAAGGGAAGAGAGCATAAGCGCAAAGAGAGCTGGAAACCTCCCCAGTTGCACAGTCAGTTCATGGCTCTTTTGCCAAAAAGCCTTTGTGATCTTTCCAAGTGCACAGGAGGCTGACACCAGCTCAGTAGCAGGATGTCCCCCCAAGGCCATCTTGGTTTGTTGCCAGAGTCTGCCAGCCAGCAGAGTTTATCCTTTCAGATGAGTTTCACCCTCATCAGAGGTCATCCTTTCCCTAAGACTTGCAGAAAAGGTGCATTTTCATTGAAGGGGCAGGGAAGGTTGATGAGAGAAGCAAAAGACCAGGGGGGCCAATGCTCTTCTCCTCCTCTTCCACCAAGGGACAGTCTCAGGATGGCAGGACATCACAACACCAGATGCTGGCTGGGTTAGTTGAACTTTGAGGTCTCCCAGAGGCGATACAGTAACAAAGGTAGGACTGATCAACATCCTTTGAGGGTGATACTCTCAAAAAAGACAGAGTCCATTCTGGATTTCCCTATTTCCTGTGGGGTTGGGCAGGCTCCTTGGCACCACCACCACTGTACACACAGTCTCACTCCCAGAAGTGAGATTAAAATTGAATTAATAATATACACTGATCCTAGTCCTTGTGCTCAACAGCAAATCCACCCCTTTTAATTCAGAGTTTTGATCACACAGACTGTCATCTCTCTAGCAGGTCCCTCTGCAGCGTGAATCAAGCAAACAATTGCCTTTATAAATAATAGGAAAAATAGAAACAAGTGAAATAATCTTGATTTTATATTTGCAGTAAAGCTGTGACCACATTTTTTAACTTATAATGCAATACGATTTTCTCCAAGTCCTCTTTTAATTCCTCACAGATATTGCCTCTACAGCAGTTATCTTCAAGATCATTACAGTGTTGCCACTGCACAGAATTAAATTTACCGTGGCTTTATATGGGGAATGCCATGGTAACATTAATTACTTGCAAATGGTCACTGTCAAACACTGCATGGTGACCATGACATTCTATCATATCCTGAAATACTCAGATCTCTGAAAGGAGTCAAAGATAATCTTCTTCATTTGTAATGGGTCCTAGCAGTACAGAAAACTATTTTCCTTCTCCCAAACTCCCATTATGAAAACATAATGCAGCACTTCTACAGCAGTGGTTTAAACACAAGGGTTTGGTTTGTTTTGTGGTTTTTTTTTTCATTTTCACTCAGACTGGCTAAGATAGAGTCTGTGCAGATCTTTAATAAGTTACTCATGGGTTGAATACATGTGGGAAAATGGATGATTCAAAGGCAAAGTGTTTCCATCGTAACTGGTAGATGCAGTTGATTTAAAAGAAATGGAGTGCAGACTGTATTGAACAGCAGGACAAACGCTCCCCTTTGCTGAAAGGAACAGATCATCACACTGATAGCCAAGCATCACAATCTTGTTTGTCCACCTGGGACTTGATCACCAGCCCTTTCAATTAAAAGAATGATAATCTAATAATTAAGTCCATCACTTTAGCTCTGTGGAATTTATTCAATCT